TCTATTTGAGATAGAGCTTGCCACATCAGCATATGTATAATGACAGATCCTCATATGGCCCTTGTTTCCATAGAGTAAGCTTTCTTCTGGTGCTCCTTCAATGTATCTGAACAACTATATGGTGGTTGTAATTTTAGGAGAAAATGATGTTTCTTACTATTGATTGATCAGAGTTACGAGTTATGAACTTCAATTTTCATTCCCAGCTTAATGACATTCTCCATCTTAATAAACTTATTCTCTTATTAAAAAAAGTGGTGAATAAAAACTTCATTTCTCAGCTTGGTTTGACATCACTAGGTGAATGATAATTATTTGTATGTTATTTTGTGTTCTCACATGCTCTCTAATCTATCCCTCCCCCCTTCCTTTTTCTTTCCTCTTTGGGTTGGGACATGAGGGGGAAATTTCGACTATGTAGTTTCACTTCAGTAGAAAGAAAATTTCTCCGAAGCAAGAGGCTGTGCATAGTTAAATCCCAGTGGTTAGAAGATTGTTCAGACAGTAGCCAAAGATTATCAGAAGACTCTTACAGTTTGAAGCCCTGGGGAATAGAAGAGTCAACTGCTGAAGATTGGTAAGGTTATGCATGCACAACAGTTATATTCTGACTTTGGAGGATGACAATGTCGGAGTCTTGCTTTAATATTTTGATATATTATATGTTCCTCACAAGTGTTGTAACATGTAACTAAGGTATTATGCCGAGTTCTTCTTCGGGCATTTGCACCAGTGTACTAGATAACAATTTTTCACTTTTGATCTTGTCTTTGACACAGTAGATGGTCCTTTGGTGTAGCAATAATTAAAAGTTCTGTGAGATCTAAATTCATGTTATGCCAATTCAATTAGCATCCAATTATTTATTTATTTTTATAAGCTTTAATAAGGCTATTTAATGCAACCTAATGAAATGGGGGATGCTAGAATTGACTGCCATGAATTTGGTAGTGAAATAGAAAGATGAACAGCTAAAATGAGATAAAGCGTTACATATAAATAGAAAGTATTACTGTAAATTGTTTTGGTTTCTGAAGGGGGGTCAATTTGATGACAATTCGCAAGACTGGCTTTAGAAAATGGCCAAACCTAAATGCTTCAACTTCCTTTAGATTTCATTGGCTTCATCTTGAAATAAAATGATAGGGGAGAAGAATAAAAAAAAATGATAAATTGAATTGATTAGCTCACACAATCAAATTTGAACCATGATCCACATCATATTGTTAGACTATGAAGAACTGACTCATGCAGAGAAATCATCTCCTTGTCTGTCAAAACTGAGCCGGTAGATTGATAAAAATTAGAACTTAGTATTTGTATTTTTTATTTATTTCAAACATTTTTTTCGGTGTTCTAGTATACCTCTGCTAAGAATGTTGATGATGATAACCCCCTTGTCTTTGAAATGGTACATCAGGCAAAAAATGCATAATTGACGTGATTAACTATGGTTGAATGTAGGAGTCGTCCTTAGAACTTCTATTTTATCAATATTTTCCTTGGCATTTGATGGTTTTTCTCTCTGTGTTTTAGTGAACAGGACTTGGTGTTAGAGGCTCATCAGAGTGGATATAATGTAGAAGACCAAAATATTTCTAACTCTGTCAAGGGAAATCAACAGAGAAGTGCAAAAGCTGCTTGTGAAGACAGTATGGCTTTGGTATCCCAAGAGAAGGGTGGCCAAAGAAAAAGAGGAAGACCAGCAGGCAGTGGTACCAAAAAAGTAAAACCAGCTGCCAAACAAGCCCGAAGAGCACGAGTACAAAATGTGAAAAAGCCTGCTAAGTTATATGAATATGAATCATCAGATGAAAGTGATTCTCATGACAAAAGACCAATTGAGCAGGAGATTGACACTAGCGCAAGAAGTCTTGATTTTTACAAGAAACATTCAGAACCCCAGGAGAGTGAGGAACGTGGATATGTCCAAGTTGCTGAAACAGTGGAAAGTTCTAGACCAGATAATATAGACAAGCAAGAAGACTTGAAAAGCAATGAACATGAAAGAACATTGGTTCCTGAATTAGAAATGGCTGATAAGCACAATGAGGTGTCTGAGAAACTTGAAATTTCAGCTGACCCCTTGCAGGCGATGTTATTTGACATGATTCCTAGCCTTGCCACCAAAAAAGATGAGCAACCTATGAATCTTAGTCTTAGAGAAGAGAAGCAACCAGAAATCTCCAATGCAGAGGCAGAGAAGCTACCAGAAAGCTCCAATGCAGAAGAAGAGCCTACAACTATAAAGAAAAAGAAAGTTAGCTACAAGGATGTTGCTAGTCAGCTGCTGAAGGATTGGTAGAGCATCGTCTTGCAAATGTATTGCCTAGTTCTGAATTCCTTGTGTTGTTATCCAAATCTAAAGGTTTTCATTGTCTTGGCTAGCGAATTTGATATCTGGATTTTTTCATCTAGATGAAGAGTTCACTAATTTATGGAAGAGTAACAATGTTAATATTCCTAACAAGTTTTTAAATATTTTTCCTGGTTTCTTAAAGCAAAAATATTAATGAAACTGTTTAATATTATTTTTTTGTTGATAATTTATAGAATTTTTTAACTGATATAAGAGTACGTCACGGGTATATGCTATTGAAATAACTACAATAATTTTTATATGATTTGGTTGCGTGAAAGTAATTCAGTAGTAATTTAATGGCTGGTTCAAGTGAGAAGTTAAGAAAGATTAAGTTAATGAGATTATAGTGAATTCTATCTCGATAGATCTCGTCTTTAATCAAGGTGAGTATAATTGTGATTTACGTAAAATATTTTTAGTTTGATCAGGTTATTTTTGTTAATGAGTAGTGTTATATTTCTTTTTTTAATTATGATTGAATATACTTTTAGTTTTTAAGTTGATATATTTTACTTTTAGTTTTTAAACAATTTTATTAGTTTTAATTCCTAAACTTTTAGTCCTTGAACATGGTAACTAGTTAAGGTTACTCAGTTATATAAGTATGTCCCAGTCTTATGAGGTCAGCATGTTGTTGGAGTTTAGACGTTAAGTGTTTGTGTTAATTATGTTGTTTGTAAAAATGTTGAATTCTCGATAGTATTTGATTAATCTTTTATAATATGATATATTTTTTGACAAAAATAAAAGGTAATTTAAATATCAAGAGACTTGAACTTAGATAAATATAATTATTTAACATTTTAATGACTATTAAATTAACATATTTTATTACTGTACAATTTGTATATTATATTACGGTCATCTTTGTAATTTTTCCTATCTTTACCAAAAAAAATAAGACATAATTTAAAAAATAAATAAATAAAGATCTGGACATGTGATTCAATAAATGTCTATGAATTCAATTTTTAACTCATTGACCTGGTACCTTATCGATTTTTTTAAAACATTATTTAAGTAGACTAACATATGTAGTCCATTAGTATAAAAAAGTTGTGTATTACGTCATGTTTTCTACATGGAATGATAAATAACACTTAGGTAAAAATAATACAATGGTATTCTTGAAATTTAAGAGAACTTTTTTAAATGAATTATTTTTTAACATATGTAGAAAGAGCATTTTATATTGATTAAATTTTAATTGATTTAAAAAGAGGTTTTATTTTGGTTAAAAATTGAACTTATGTAAATGGATACATTTTTCATTGAATAAAAATTGAACTAACGTGAAAATCTCCTTTAAATCTTAAAACGTGAGCATCACTTTCATATTGTGCTTTTTTGTTCTTTGCCTCCCTTGCAAATCCTCTACAACTCACCTTTTCTTAACACCATCCTATTACCTCCATGAGTAAACATTTTTCAACCTCAAATCGTGTGAATCTCTCGGTAATTTTTTCATTATCATCATTAATGTTATCAATAAGATACGACGCTTTCTTTTTTATTTTGTCACATTTGTTATCTATGACAATATTAATATACATTCAAATGATTTTGTATAACGGTAGCTATCATAAAAGAATTATATGATAAGTCAATTGCATATTTGATGTTTACATGGTGGAGTTGATTTTTTTTTTTTTTTTGAAAAGCACATCTCATATATTAATAAAAACTAAAGAAATAGGTTATACAAAAGTTTTACACAAAGTAGAACAGAGACCTCCCAAAAGCAAAGTTGCCTAAATCCAAAAGGATATACACCAGCAACCCACTAGTTAACTTCCCAAAATACAAAGTCATGGGTCAATACACCAAGATCCTAAAAAAAAACTAGCCTACAACCATTCCTGTACATCCACCAATGCCAAGAAATAATTTTAATTTGATAAAGAAAATCAAAATGCAATACCGTTTTGTCTCTAAAAATAATTTCATTCTTGTTAGTCCAAATAACCCAAATTGATGCTTATGTTGTTGTATCGAATGTTGACTCAATAACAATAGTTTATAGTGGTATGATCGTATTTTGACATAACAACTCTATTAATTATTTAACAATTAATGTAAAAATATCTGACTTTTTGTATGGATCATATCTATATCAATTTAACAACTAATATAAAAAGTGTAAATTGTAATAATAATCTTCTTAGTTTTAGTTTATTGGCGCATTTTTTTAATTCCTCATCTTATTTTTTTTTATTAAAAATTGAATAAAAAAGATACAAACTCCAAAATTAATTTTCAATATTGGCTTAGCTCCCATTTAAATGTTTTTTAGTAAATTTTCATTACATGCATCTACAATGAGTGGTTGATCATACTAAATAAGCTAACCTATGATTTTTATGAGACAGGTATATTTTTTTTTCCATTACTAAGAAATATATCTGTTGAACACGAAAACTAATCTCTCAAAAAGTTTAATAGATGTAAAATAGATACACATCTTCTTCTATCTTAAATTTTTTATATTTATAAATACAGGGGTTGAATCCTTAGTCACTTGATTAAATGATGTGAGTCACTCATTACCCACACCAACCCAAATTGATTTTGAAGTTGGTAGATGACTAACATTATATAAGAAAAATTACAAAACATTTTTTAGACAGAAGATCCACGATGATGTAAAATGCAGTTTTATTATAGGAAAAACATTTTTGATGCACTAACAACAAAGTTTCACAGGTAACAAAGTTGAAGATTGAGGGCAATCGAACAGAACCAAATATAGCACATAATGAAGAAAAACTCCTCCGAAAGCCACAGTTCCTAAACCTTGTATTTATATACTAGTGACCCCAATTTATATATTTTGATTTTCTTGCTCAAATGCTCATTGGGCTTTGAGGGTCATTAAGAGCTTCAATGGCTGTCTTGATCTTTATCTTCAAATGATCTTTCTCTTCTTCATTTGCCTGAAAATAAATATATAATCAAATATTTTTATCAATAAAAATTAAAACAAAACTTTATATATATTATTCTAACTCTAGGTAGTTCAACTATAACATCAACTCTCAACTACTTCTATTTTAAACAATATATTTTTATCCTCAACTACTTCTATTTTAAACATTAATAATTAGTAATGATACTCATTTTTAACTTTTGTTATTGCTGTTTAAAAACTTCAGCATATAACAAGTTTTGTGCTAAATAACATAAAAGGACATGTTCGGTAGGGAATTATTCTTTTAAATTTTTTGGAGATTCTTATGTTTGATGTGAAGTTGTAACTATAATTTTTTTTAATTATACATTCTTAGGAAGGAAGGTGCGAATCTAATTATAAAGTGGAAGAGTTTTAATCGTATGCTCATAATAAAATTCTAAAGAAAATTTTAAACATAATAAACATATTTATAACGTTTCTTAACAGTTGTTTCCAAAAAAACAAAAAAGTGATTCCTCTGAAACATGATTTATAAGAATGAAAGAAAATACTATACACCAAACTCCCCCTAACTTAAGAATTTTGCGCAACAAATATAAATATTGAAAAAGAAATATTATTCAAACATCAATATATACAAAGATATAAAGTAAAAAAGAAAATATTAAATAAAATGAATAATATAATAAACAGAAATTTTAATCTATATTGGAAAACGTGGCCTAATGTTAATTTTATTATAATAGTAATAATATTTTTTTATTATTTTTGCTCTTAGAACTAGGTTTTGACATCTGTACAGCACATTGAAAAATAGTTTAAGAAGATCATAAAATAATTCTTGAAATAGAAACAGCCACGTCTAGCTCGATATAGTTTAGAAAAGAATTATGTCCCCACTATAGTATTTATGAATTGTTTTAGATAGTGGGGCACTTATTCTTAATTCTTTTTAATATTTCTCGAGCATCCATATCTATGGTATTTTATAAAAGTTTATGATCCTTTAGTCATATTTAATATGCTATAAAATATTTGCTATGAATCAATATAATATATAAATAATACTATCTTTTTGAAGTTGACATTAATTAAGTAGTAATCAATAACTTACTTTAATACCAAACATATAAAATGCTTTTTTTTTTACTTTAATATCATACATATAAAATGCTCCCTTTTTTTTATCATATTATCGTCCGAAGTATCTGCTCCTTTTATTGATAAATAACTTCAGTAAAAAATTTAATTAATTACTTTTAGTAAAATATCTTTTTTATCTATATTTTTTTATTAACAAAATTTGAATTCAACTCAGCTTTCACTTGGATTATTGTAGTATGATAAGAGTATCATGACACTTTTCTAAACACTTATATATATACTAACAATAAAGGAAATTTTTTTTATCCATAAATTTTGGATAATTTTATTCTTATAACTTCTATGTTATATCTCATTTTATTCTTTATAGCTACTCAAACTCTCATAATTATTAGCTGTCAACTATTATTTAATCTTATTTTTTTTATTTTTGTTCAAAATAGAAATAGACATGAAATATATTTTCTACACTAATAAATAAATAAAGGTTAGTGGTATTGATTAAATAATAAGTAATATTTTTTTATTAAAATTATTATAGATATTTATTAAAAATTAAATAAAAATATATTAATGATATTTAAAAAATATTTGATTCTTTAACAATGTTCTTAAAACACCAAATATTATTTTTGTATAATAAACAGAAAGATGACAGTGACACATAATGCACTTGAAAAGTAAATAAAAAAATTGGATATAATTAAAGTTCTGGAATAATTAAGAATACATTATATAGTAATTTAAAAAGCATTAAGTTTTAATAATGTATATATATGTGATTATATGACCAAAATTTATTTTTTTCCCTGTCACTATGCATATTATATGATTAAGACAAGTCCGAATGAGGTAATCTCAGGTTCCAGAAAGCTTTAACTTTGAGTTTCAGTCATTAATGGTATCTTTTAGCATAAATAATTGTTCATGATTGGCACTATTTGATTTTCAATGACCATCTTCTCAGTCATCTGTTGCAATAATTCTAATCTATTGACGGTGGCTAAGTTTGATTCGTCACTCCAAAATTAATAATAACTCACATCATATCAAAGTAAGATCATAAAATACATTGAATGCGACAAAAGAATCACTTTCAGTAATTAAAAATGAGTAATTAACTATTAATCTTCAATTATGTGTCTCATGTGTTTAAAATAAAAAATACTATGTTGTTTATCTCGTGTCGTTTTAGATTATTTTATAGGATAAAAAAAATCTAATAAATTTATTTATTTATTTAAAATATAAGATGATGGCATGAGGAGGAGTTTAATTAAGTTAATTATTTTATTTTTATATTTAAAATAAATTAAACTCATGAAGACACGTATCCCATTTTACGATTTGAAAAATTGACTTTGAATAAAATATAAAGACACGTTTATGTGTTTGTGGCTAATAAGAAGGTTCCTAAACCCTAAAGTTAAGAACACATACGACACTTGTAGGGTCTCTAAATTTTCCGTTTTTGGACTAACTAAATAGTGAGTAGAAACGGACAGGAGCTAAACGACAAGTCGTTTCGTGAAGGGCAGAAGTTGGGTATTGGGCTAGAGTGAGGCCTTTTTCCGATGTGGGCCTTAGAGTGAGTGCGGTGGAAGGTTCGTATTGAGAAGAAGAAAGATAAGACGCACGTGGGAGAATGAGAAACACGTTTTGATTTTGGGAATGTGTTAGCCACTTTCTTATTCTTATTCAAACCAATGTCCCCTCTTACACAGCAAGGTTCATGTCTTTTAAGGAGCATGTTAAATATGTGCCCTTTTACTTTTATTTCCCAAATTTGGTCCACTCCTACATGTTTTTTCTTTAGGGTTTTGCCCTATACACAACAACTAAGGTACCTATTTCTTCACTTATTTGCATTTACCTTATCAATTCCACCAATCATTGAGCATGTGCTTGTGGTTGCAACATTTTCGGATCAAGGGGACATAATTTTTTCTCCTTTCATTTTTATTTTAGGTTGAGTTTTTGTTTATGTTTAGTATATATAATTTAAAATAGGTATTTTTAATATCTATATTTATCTTCTTCGATCCTCTTTAATTTCTATAATTTAAGATAAATATTTTTAGTCTTTGTACTTGTAGTTTTTTAATTATTTTAGTCCATATTGTTATTATTTTTTTTTTGTAACATTTTGTTTTATGTTAATGTTGTATTTGAAGTAAAAGTTAATCAAATTTTGAAATCCAAAAAAAATTAATTGTTACAAAATATTAATAATGAAGATTAAAAGGATTAAAAATTTATAAGTATAGAAACTAAAAATATTTATCTTATACTGTAAAGACTAAAGAGAATTGAAAAGATAAGTATAAAGACTAAAAAGTGAAGTAAATGAGATTATAAAGATTTAAAAAATATTTTAATCTTTATTTTTTTTTCTTTCATTTGTTACCTCTAAACCTATATATAAGAAGAAGAAAAAAATTAATTTCGCATGAATTAAAAAAGATGGTTAAATGTATTTAATTTTCACAATTTTAATAAAATATACATTTTATTTACTAAAATATTTTTTAATCAAATTTTTTGTTTATATAGATTCAAAAGAAGTATTTATAACATTTAAAATAAATTTTTAAATTAATTTTGCTATTCACTTAATTTTTAATTAACTCATACATTTATAAAGTGAAAATAAAAAATAACTATTATGTACCAAGTCATATTTTGTGATAATTGACTCGATTTCTTTAAAAAAGATTTCAAATTCAAGTCTTTTTTTTTTGGTGTTGTAAATTCAAGTCTTGTGAATAAAAAGAATATAACTAAAAATAAATAAATAAAAATAAAAGATAGTCAAAAATTTCAACCGAAATTACTTATCAACAAAACAAGTGAATATTTCGTAGCATTTGTCTTTCTTTGTTTTTTAAAAAGTAACTATTATGTATGTAGAAGAAAAAACAAAACCACAAATACCCAAAGGAATTATTTTATGGAGAACAAGAAGAAATACTGTTTTTACGCATAAAAAGTTTAAATGACAATTAAAAACGAGTTAAGAATTTTTTTTCTAAAAAATATATAATTTTTTTTTGGTTCCCTAATGCTCTGCTAGGTGAAAGTACCATGAAAATAGACATTCTACCGTCAAAGTACCATGAAGTGGAAGGAACTTTATGAGCAGAAATTAAATTTATTAATTTATTTTACTTTTCTCTATTTTTGATCCACCGTATTTTTAATCTTTTTATTTCCATTGTACCAAACTCTCTCCACACCAATTTCCGATCAAATCTAATTTTAATATCAAAGAGTAATAAATTGTTAAATTTAAACTTTATTAAAAGTAAGACCAAATATAACTGTCATGTTCCGCTTAATTAATTTTTGTCTTTTATAAATGTGTTCATGTTCAAGATCGCAATGATGACAAAATATTAAGGCACTATAAACTTCGATTGGTAGTGACCCAAAATCACGTGGCCAAACTTCATTGGAGAGAAAGGGACTTATCCTAAATTAACAGATAATTATGTTGATTTGATAAAAAAAGATAATAATAAAACCATCTCTAAACTTAATTTTGATTTCATCTATATAAATATATTAATTCAAAAGAACTGTTTTGTTTATTTTGTATTTTTAATAATTACTTTTAACTACCAAGTTTAAGGATAATAAAAATAATTAAGCATGGTGAAAAGAAAGTAGAATCTTGTTTTGTTCGAGGTTTAAATTACAATATTCAAAAAGTCCTTAGCTTGAAATTCAATTTTCTATAACTTTAATTGTTAAGGTAACTAAAAGAGAAAATAAAAAATAATAAACATTTTAGAAACCTTGAAGTTGTGATTGTAAGCATGATAAATATATATACTTTGTTTTATCTAATTAACTGCAAGGATTTAAAAATTTGTTTAGGAGGTTTGTCTTATTTAAACAAGAGATAATTATCTATATATTGTTAGTATAATTTTTTTTTACATTAATAACTAATTATATCTTTTAATTGTGTCATATCACTGTTAAAAGTAAATGTGTTTACAGTGACATGATACAATTAAAAAATATAATTGATTATCGGTGTAAGAAAATTTTAAGCGGATAGTATATAGATGATTAATCTTTTAAACAATTACAAACCTACTTCAGAAGGAGAAATAAATAAGTAAAAGAAAAAACATGACATTCCACGTTCCCATTTAATTAGGAGTTTCACGAAACATTTTATGATGTAAAATACAAGTCTTGACTTGACTTTAGTCGGAAATTCTGGTTAAAGCCCTGATGATTGCCCTCAAAAGTCTTATACTATTCCCTAATGGGTGTTCCACACTTCCACTTTACCAAAAGTGGTCTCTTGGTTTCTAAGCATGTAGGCCCTTATCCTAGCTGTATGGCTTTTTCAATTTTGTATATAATATACAGCACATATCATTGTGCTCATTTATTATTAGAGTAAAAAAGGGTACCCGGATCTCACAACCTACCAAGTTAATTCAAAATGGGAATATATAAAGTAAGATTAAAGAGGAGGAATTGTTGTGAAAAATAGGAAGGAAGCTAAGAAAACTAACCTCAATGAAGACTGTCTTCAAAAGCCCCCCCGAAAACGAGGTGATGTTTGCTGTGATGATCTTGAGCCTCAAGGATTCGAACACCTCGCACAGTTTCACCATTGTGTCTGTCCTTTTGCTGCATGTCAAACTCACCACAACTGTCTTCTCCCCCATGTATGTAACCTGCAGCTGCAGCAGCAATTAATGTAAAATTATTGTAGCTTGTAACAATATGAGGTGCCATCTGGTTCATGGATAGATAGATAAATTGTGAAATCTTAGTTAAAAGATTCCCTTGGTGTGACAGATAAGAAATTATGCATACCCCACATTTGTTTTATAGATGAGAAGAACAAATGAACAATACCCCACAACAATTTTATTTTATGGTGGCAATAATACAAGAGAGAGAGAGAGAAAGGGTTAACCAACATTAAGGAGTTCAATTGGGGAGTTTCTTGAGGTGATGGAATCATATAGGTTCTCTGTTCTCTTCTTCTTGGACCTGAGCACCACAGGGAGCTGCTCCAGCTCAAAGTCATAGCTTGGACTACTCTTCTTTGGCATACCCGATTCAAGCTCCATTATCTCAGCTTGGATAATCTTTTCCTGCTCGTGCAAGTGCTGGATGTACTCAATAGCATCCTTAATAATCGAAGCCTTATCCATCTGCATCATTATTATTCATCATTACATAAATCCCAAATACCCTAAACACAATAAAACAAATTAAACAAAGGTACCTTGCTAATGTTTGGCACCACCGATCTAAGAGCAAAAAGCCTTTCATTGAGCTTCTTCCTCCGATTCCTCTCGGAAACAATGTTCTTAGATGCAGCCGAGGAAGCAGCACCATCAGGGGAACTCGAATCGTAGTACCCCGATAAGGCCTCATCCAACCCCCAACTAGTGTCACCAAAAATAACAAAAACCTTATGTTAGTCCAATTAATTTCCTAACATATAGTATTTGAGATTAATCAATTAATCAATTAATCAATTAACCTGTCGAGCTCTTGGGTTTGGAGGAACATGTTGGTCTCCCAGTAATGCTTGTACTCTTCGCCAATGTTGTCCATGACTAAGGAGGAGGGAGGAATATGTGAGATGAAGATGGTGATGGTGATGGATTTGGTTGAAGCCTTGAAGGTGTATAATATAAGTATTTCTCTCCTTTTGTGGCTTTGGCTTTGGTGCGTTGTGTTTTGGTAGGCACTCTTTGGAGTTGGAAGTTATATATATATAGAGAGGGAGAAGGGGGTGGAATATAGTCACGTGTGAGGATAGATTGGTTGATTGTGTTGGCTGGTCTCTTGACTCTTATGTTTGCTGCTTCCTAGAAATATCCAAACACTTTGCTCCGCGTTTGAGGCATGATTCCAACACCACCTCATGTCATGCCCCTTTTTCCACCTTCAATCACTTTAATTCCTATACTATTTATTACTCTCATCTTATTTTTTAAGCAATTGTTTTTAACAATAATACAGTAAATTAGCTTATCAAATTCTAAAATGTCAACTCTTTTAATTTAACTATTTTTGTTTAATAATATTAAGGACTAAAATAATTACCCACTAATATTGAGTTTCTAAATCAATCTCGTAAGAACCAGCTTGACCAAAATTTAACATGATTTTTAAGTGACAATTTGAATAGTAAAAAAAAATCATAATTTAATCTATGTTCACAACGGTGTTTTTATTTTAAGGATACGTACGGTGTTAAAGATGGAAAATTTGAAGCTATGCCAAAAAGGATAAAATTAACATGCATATATAGGTAGTCTAATGTATTAATGTGTGTTCCCCTTTAAAGGGAAAGTCTGAAACGAGGGATTTATTGAACCTGAGTGTAGGAAAGGTGGAATTTGTTGCAAGTTTGACAATTTAATTTTAAAAAAATGGTTAGATATGATTTGATCACATTTGACACAACCAAAATTAAATTGTATTTTATGAGGTAATATGAACTTATGGAGCCTACTTTCCCGTTTGTTGCGTGTGCAGTGGTTGGGTGTTTCAATAATTAGAAGATTTGAACATTATTTTTGATTTTATATTTGGTGAAAGAGAAAGAGAGAAAAATAATAGCAATAATATTTATTGTTAAATAGGGTTTTCTATCAGTATGAAAAGACCTACATCTATAGTTACTAATTTGGTTGTTGGGCCTGGGACCATATATAACTAGGTGAGGACAGAGACTTCAAAGTTAAAACGGTTGTGAACTTGTGACCTGAGGCACCAGGCACCAACACGAACACGGAACACAATCATGTTACTCGCATGTATTGGATGAACAATTTTTCATCTCCCAATTCATCATTTCTAATTTGTTCATATAACCAACATGGTTGATTGTATCATAAATCGATACGATTAGTAATTCATTTAGTTAAGTCATAGTTTTCATCATCTTAATTTGACATAAATAGGGTGATTGTGTACTTTAATTCTAACTATTTTTAATTGATTTTTGGTTTTTTTTAACAAGGAATATGTATAAAAGTTAAACCCAGCTGTTATCTATAGTTTTTTGAGTTTAACATACATGTTTTAGTGTTATATCTATATGTGTAAAGACTTCTTAGATTTCCGCACTTAATATGCTAGAATTACTCATAACGAAAAACATAATTTGGTTAACATAAAGTAGGTCTTAAAAATTTCATGTAATAATATATGCATAGGAATATAAATAAACTAAATCATAATTTATTTCTTAGTGGAATTACATCATCCTACACACACATGTGCACACACACATTTGCGATAATCCAAAATTGAAAATGTAACTTAGATTGTCAATTAAACAACATTACAAAATATCTACAAAAGTAGCACCACATTGTACTACTATCCAACATGACTCTCAACTCAACTTTTGTCTTCGACCTATCCATGTCTTACTCTCATATAAATATTATCATCGTAATCAATCCATAAGAAAATATGCAAGGATAAACTAGTATTCAAAAGAAATAATCACAAAACAAGTATAAAAGTAAATGCATCTATACTACCAACATCATCATGTAAATCACATAACACAACACCTCATGATTTACAACTTAACACAACAATAGCATCTCAACATGGCATTTCACAACCTTAAAATGGCAAACAACTTGATCACATCACAACAATTTCAACTTACATCACAATCATGTCATTTAACAACAAATTCACTTATCATATGAACAACACCACAATCAACACATCATATGCATAACACCTCAACTACATGTGTTATCATGCATTTAACTAAGAGATCTCTTACAACGAAAGTGAACAATGTAAGTGGTTTGAACTTATTGAACCAACAACAATCTAATATTTTTACATCTGCTAGATCAACAACCAAATTGGATAAAAATTTACAACAACATGGTTTCTCAAAATTTACTACTTAAATTATGAAAGTCTATTATTTTTGTTAGGGTAAAACAACTTAGGTGTGAGCCTACCACAGCATTAGCATGCATGACTAAGCTTTCTATGAGATTAGTCCGTCAACTATCTTTCAAATACGACATCCATTCCCATACTTAGTTAGAAATTTTGACCCTCAACCCCGTACCTTACTCAATTTGATCATTTATACAAATATGGTTTGACCTAATCCTCATAAGGATCAACATTAGTCACTTATAATCAATATCATTCGACCTGACACTTATATTGTAATCACTTATAGTCAGTAACCCTCGACCTTGTTCACATACCACATGGAGTAAGGTCTTGGAGGAAATTTCAAATATTCACTTCAAGAGTTAATTACTCAGATTTTTAATAATTGAGCTTGTAGAGCATCACAACAATATTATCACAATGGAATATCCAACTTTTTAAAATATTTTTTCCTCTAATTCTAAGTTAATCAACACAACACACCTTAATGTCTTAAGCATTATCAGCACCATCATCCTTGAGACACCCTAGATCCAACATACGTTTATAAATTAAAATTCACACAAAGAATATAAAAATCACTAAATCCATGCATAAATAATCAAAGCAGAGTCTCTACATCAGGTAAAGAGTCTCATATAACAAACTCTTAAACAAACTTCATACTAAGTAAAAATATAAAAATAAACATAAATATTATCATAAAAATTAATAAATTGTAAATATTCATTCATACTAATTGTCAATGAATGAATATTTAAGAATGAAACAAAAATTATATATTTTATAAAATTTAGACAACAAAAATTATAAATTGAATATTATAAGAATCAAAAATCAAATTTATTCTTTAATATAAAATAACATGCTTCCCTTGCTACTATTTATTCTAACATACAAAGATAATCAAATGACAAATGGATCAATATAATCAAATCATACTAAATATTTTCAATTTAACGAGTTAATACGTAAGTCTATAAATTTCTAATTTTTTATCTCTCAATTTATAACTTATAAAGTTTCATTTAATTTATAAAATTTTAACTATTTTATAAACTAGTCTTATTGAACAAATTTAACTATTGAGTTGAGTTGAAAAGTTAAATTACCCACCCTAACGGAATTTTGTAGTGGACAGGCTGATAAAGTGGACGAATGAAATATTATAGAATCCTATGAAATCAAATCACATTCCTTTCTTTTCGTTTCATCACTTTTATCATTGTCAAGTAAGTAATGACCAGAATTAAACTTGGTAAATAAGCTAGAATCCTTTGATAAATTAACTAGAATTGTTTTAGCCTTAGATCAAGCTTGGTAAATTAAGTCAACCCCACCTTTGATTTATCAAATCTTTCACGATTACCAAGGTTGTCGTTCTTTTTAAGTAGTGTTAGTCATACTATAAAAGGGTGGGTTTGATTGATTTAATTGTGAACTAGACACTTACCAAGCTCATTATTTAGTTTTATTTTAACATTGCTATGAAGTTTGAGGGAGAAAGGGGGAAATGATATTAAATTAAATTTTGTCATATGTTTGTACATCTTTTCATTTTAGTTTTTGCATAGAAATTATGTTTTGATTGTTTCATAACTAAAATTTACAGATCAATTTTTCTTATTAAGGTTGGAAGAGGTTACCTGAAAATATGTTTTATTTTTTATCTTATACGAAACACATTTATATTTCATTTTAATTTGTGCATTAGTACAAGAAAAAAAATAGTACGAGCTCTATATTTTTTATTCATATATATAATACATTTAATTGTAATCTTTGTAAGCAAAATTCTAATATCAAATCATTATAAGAAAATTGTTATATAGTGACATAAAAATTATCACTAAAAACTACTTTTAAATACACAATAAATACAATATATATTAATATATTGTTAAAAATGTGAGTATAGATTATAATGACACATAAAATATGTTGTTAAATCTCATTCAAAATGATCACTAAAATTGTGTGTAGATATATGTCAAATAGATATATACCTACATATAATATACCCATATTATCATTTTTGATATGTTACTATATGTAACATTTCTTGTAGTAAATATAGGAAAAACGTTAAGGAAGTAACTATCATTTTTCATTTAATAACTTATGTTCTAAATTAAATTTTTAACGATTCAACTGTTAAATTAAAAATTCTTAATGCATAGATTAAGTCTACAAATTTTTTTTAAATTAAAAATTATTTGATACTTTATTTTATTAATTCAAATTGACAAATAATTATAAAAATTTTATAAGTTAATTTAAATAATTTAATCTATAAATTATGAACTTTTAATTCAATAGTTAAATTATTTAAATTTGGTGTGAAATATGAATTATTAAATGAAGTACCTTTATATATAAAATGGCACCATTGATCTTAAAAAAAATCTGCCTCCTAAGTACGGAATATTAGTTAAAAAAATTATAAGTTAATTGAAACTTATAAATTATGAAGTTAAAAATTAACTGATTAAATAAAAAGTTTTTGATAAAATTTCGAAAAGTGAGTTAATATATATATATATATATATATATAAAGAAAAAAAGATATTGCCTCTACCACTTTAGCTTAAGTCAGAAAGAAAACATATTACATTATTTTAACATGATAAGAGGTTAAATTAAATTAAATAAATTTAGAGATTAAAAAGTAATTGAATTAAAAAAAAATGGAGAATAAGAAAAGGCAAACGGTTAATTGAGAGAATTATTTAAGTGGCATCGTGTGTCTTGTTGATGGTGTTTGCATGTGTCATCCTCAATTCTTGTGATGACGTGATTAACATCCCTACATGTGAACACATACTCAGGCCACTCACAAAACAGTGATCTACTTTA